CTCTTCCGAAGCTTCTACCAGTTTCTGGTGCCTATTGCCACGTAAGTGCCAAAAACAATCCCTAAGCCCAATGTATTATTTAAGATGCATCTGCTTACGATGATCTTAGTTGTAAATATGCTGGATTAAAGTAAGTGCTATAGGAATGTGGCCAAAACTGTAGTGGAAGATTTAGGCTAGAAATATTTGGGGAAAAGAGGATCAGAACTCTGAAACTACTTTTTTCTTCTTCTTCTTTTCAGTCTTTGCTCAAGCAGAATGCCAAAGAAGGATAACGATCTATTACAATGACATAAGCTGACATGTTTTGTGCTGTTGATCGTACAGAATAGGTCCTCTGGTGTACATGTTTTGTTGTTTTCAGATGATTTATACCAAGTGATAACAGCATAATAATGAAGAAAATAAATGTAGCCCTCAGCTAAACTCCTAATGAAAACGTTAATGAGATAACACAGCTTTAAGTTCGATCTGATAAGCCTCAGTACATTGTGTCTGTCTACACGTATTTTATTGCTTTAACTTCATGTAATTTCAAATAACCTAAATCTACAGCGAGTAAGAATATACAGCGTATCATACATTTATACGAGACAGTTGCTCATGCTGGATGTTATTGTCTTGCCAGTTTCCAGATTGCATCGTCACTCACCAAGGAGCTCTGCGCTCTTGTGTTTGGTATCAACACCTTCTTTGGGACAGTGCTGAAGACCATTATCAGCCTGATCTTCACTGATAAGAGGGGCCTGGCCTTGGACGTGCACTCTCAGGTAAAACAGTCAAACAGCAGTGATGTTTCACACCAGTGTTTCTTGGGTTTGAGAGTCCACATGCAGTAGTATAACTGGAGTTACAGTTGTCAGACGTTTCGTGCTAATGATGAATGTAAGTAAGTCCTGATAATTTTGGACTATTAATTTTTTTTTTAACTTAATGACTTAAAAAAACAAGAATTGGGTGCACACGTTGGAATTTATTTTAAATTTTCTCTAATCCACAAAGGATGAAAAGTGTACATACAGATTTCAGAAATATACATACACCCCCAATAATATTAGATTAAATTTTAAATGTCTCTTAGTAAGTTGCACCTTGACCAGAGGTAGCTTTCAGTAAGCTGATTGCTCAGCATTGATAAAGTTCAGTTAAACTAGGTGTTTCCTGGAATGGGCGCAGCTTTTAAAGTCCACAGATTTATTTTCAGTAAGGTTGAGATCGGGGCTTTGGGATCGTCATTCCAGAAGCTTAATGTTAGGCTGCTTTATCCATATGTGTTTGGGATCATTGTTCTGCTAGAACACCCAACACTGACCACGTTTCAACCACCTAGCTGTTGATCTGAGGTGAAGTTGAAGAGTTTGGAAGTAGTCCTTCATTATTCCATCCAATTTGTGCAATGTTCCAGTGCCACCGAGGTTAAAACAGCCCCAGAGCATAATGCTACCACTACCATGCTTGACAGCTCATACACTGCTCTTAGGTTTTGAAGCCTCGCCTTTACTCCTCCAAACATACCTCTTGCCATTGTGGTCAAAGACCTTTGCAAAGTGGTGAAAAATTAGAATAATTTGTGGTTACATGCAGTTGGAATCTGCAGTTGTTTTGAAATGACTCCAAGACACTTCCCCAAATTGTGTAACTTGACAATTCTCCCTAGTTGTTTACTGAGTTCATTGTCAAACAAATGCTGCTTATGCTGCATAGATAAACTCCCAGTTATAGTAAATCATGATCATTAATGAGAAGTTGGTAGGCACTGGCCATGTGAAAATAAGACATTGTAGAAACTTCAACACTTTATTAAAATATTCATGTGAGGGTATGTCTCTATTTGAGTCCGTATGCATAATATCGACCCTCTGTGGGTTAGAGAAAGTCTAAAATAAATTCAAACTTGTTTTCTGAAGATGTATGCTGCACAATCACTCCACCCTGGAAAAAGAGCAGTTCAATGAAATCATTAAAAGCTCAAAACTATCATGACATTCATGCTCATGATGAGTTTTTGTGAACTTCTTACCACAACTGTATCCTTAATGTGTTCTGTTGGTGTAGTTTTATGTTGTACGTCAGGGGTGTCAAACTCAAATACACAGTGGGCCAAAACTCAAAACTGGATCAAAGTCGCGGGCTAACATTAATATTTATTGAAAAAAATCTTCCTCCAAATATAACAAGAAATCTTTTCTTATGGACTCAAACAAGTTTTGCTGAAAAACTGAGTTTGGAACAAGCAAAGCTTAATACTAAAGAATATCTATAACTTATATAAATGTATATATAACTTAATATTGCACACATGCAAAATCAAAGTTCCAATTAAATAACACATCAGTGTAATTCATTTCTTAAATAAAAATTGTATTTGCAGCCTTCGGAATTAAATTTTACCATTCATCATATTTTCATCATATTCTCCCACCTGCTCCTGTTTCCTGCCTTTCTTTTAGCCATTTTGGGATCGGTAGCATAGCAGTATTAGCATGGTTGCTATGACTATTGTCAGAGGAGAGGGTGCTAATGAGTCCTGTTGTGACTGATGCACCAAAACACCAACAGAGCATTCTGGGAATTGTAGTATTAGCAGTACATGACCTGTGTAATAC